GAGAGAGAGAGAGAGAGAGAGAGAGAGAGAGAGAGAGAGAGAGAGAGAGAGAGAGAGAGAGAGAGAGAGAGAGAGAGAGAGAGAGAAGGGGGGTGAGTGGGTAAGATTCTGCAGAGCCTTCGATCTCTCTGGGGGGATGAACAGAAAATCGCCACAATGTCCATTCGAACTGCCGGATGAAGAAGCTGAAGCTCACCCACATCCAGAGAGAAGCGAACAGATAGATGCAAGGAATTTCTCACCCTCAATCACAGAAACGCTTAACATCCTATCTGTCCAGCCAACCAATCAATCCGCTACCCAATCAACAAACTAATTAGCCCCCCACCTCAACAGCTTGGTTGTAACCTAAGTTGATCTCCTCAGCACACCAAACCATTCACCTGACCCCCTGAACTGCTAACCATCAAGCAGTTTAGGGCGTCCTGCCAACAGGGTGAAAAAAAGAAAAAAGAAAAAAAAAAAAAAACTTACCACTTCAGGGTGTCCTGCCAATAGGGTCTAAATGAACAAACAAACACTCCTCTTCATTTCATTCAGATCCACAGCACTGGGTAGCTAACCCCATAACTACCTGAGCAGCTTAGTCAGTTACTGGAACATACTACTAAGTAGTACTAACCCCCCTGTTAAGCAGGCTCACTCTTAACCTAGTTACCATGGTAAATTAATTGCCTCAACAACTAGTTTATCTCATCTCCCAAATAGTCACCTAAGAACTGTAACTTCTGTGAGTGAAAAATAATATTTACCTTTAAGATAACCAACCAGTACTAATTACTAATTACTAATTACTAATTACCTTTAAGATAACCAATCATTACTAATTACTAAGTCACGTAAGAACTGTAAGTGAAAAATAATAATTACCTTTAAGATAACCAATCAGTGGTAATTAGTAATTAGTAATTACTAATTACCCAATAGCACACCTCAGGTAAGTAGTTGAGGAACTTCAGGAGGTAACTTGTTACAATAACAGTGACCTTGAAGTTTGAACTAATCAGTTAATTACGAGGTGAGTTACGGTGATATCACGACTGATTAGTTTACCTGGTCAATTACTTTATTACCTAACCTGCTCAGCTCTGGCCAAGAGCTGAGGTGGTTAGGTGCGCCACCTACGCATGCCGAGAGAGCTTAGGCTATATAAAAAGAATTGGCGACCTACCTACGCAGGCAGCCCATCTAACCTCAAGTAGCAACCTAAATAGGTGGGTGCCAAAGTATAGCCATGGCTATAGCTATAGGTAAGCAACAAATTAGAAAATGACAAATAATGACTGGTCTAACCTAAGAAGTGCTCAGTAGTCAATGGCCTTCTGTGAACTTGCAAACACAATCATAAAGCGTACCGCCAAGAAACTCTGCTACTTCAGGATGCTTCACCTGCATCAGAAAGAAAACGAGGGAAGAAACCACCATAGCGAACAACAGGTTGGGATGAGATGAGTCTAGCATCATCAATAGATTAGAGCTTTGCTGTCGCAACCGCTATTTCTTCTTCATGTGAGACAGGAGGGGAGGAAAGGAATGGGTGAGAGAGAGAAGCAGGGAGGGAGGGACGGAGGAAAAAGAGAAAAAGGGAAGGGAAAAAGAGAGA